AGAGAGAGAGAGATATCACTATTAATATATAGTTCTATTCCCTTTTCTCCTTTTTCCTTTTTAAAATACCCGAAATAATGTTTCAATACGCGCGAATAATGGAGAAGAGATGCGATGCTGGAACAGATATCTAAAATTAACGTTTGTTCTGTACGTAGTGCTATATGAGGCTTTAAAATACGCGCTCGAGAGCAAAGTCGACTAGCTCTTTGAAATCAATTTCTGAAATCGAATTTTTTGTTGAGCGAAATAAAGCTTCCGATTAAATACTCAATAATAATACAAAGTACGCAGCACTCTTCTTGATACATTATAACATATACTGCGAGGGATTAATGCGAAATAAGTATTCATAGATGCTTATTTATTCGTGCAGCAACGTAATGCACGCGGCACTTATAAGTCTGCCGTTTATAATGAGAAACGGCAATAGACTGTTAATGCGGTAGAAAATGTTTCGTTGCTTGCGCTGCAAATGTAATACGGACTACACGTATGTCGACTGATACGCCGTTGGAATAATCGTGGTGTTGTACTACGACAAACGACGTATGTAACTGTTAACAATGATGAAGCATAAAATAGTTAAAATTTTCTCTCGACTTTGCAAGCCACCAGCTTACGTCTCCTCTTCGACATTCTTCGCGATGTTATCTTTCTATTCCCAAGAGCTCCTTCTGTCTGCGGGAGCGCGCAGACCGGACGCGGCGGAGTGCTCGGCGAGAATCTACTAGTCACCACTTCGTATCAATATGCATTAACGGTGAGTTCCCGTGCCCCCGTGTTAATAACGTCGGGTAGTGACTAGGGACGCACTCGAAACGGAGTAGTACTTCCACATAGTTTTGGCAAGGAAAAAAATGATCAGATTTTGTATTAATAATAATTATTGTACGAATAATTGTATGCCAATAATAATTATACAAAATAAGATTCTTTTATTGTCGAATAAAAATTTGATTCGCGAGTTTTATTAATTTCAGAATCGCGCGCTCTTTTAGAAAAGAGAAAGGCTTAATATCCACTTCATTTCTAATTTACTGTCGTACTAGAAAATATGTTGTTTAAAATGTGCAATTATATTTTTTCCATCATTGTGATACCTTTAAAAGTTATGAATTTTGAATTTATTAGTATTTTTTTATTTACAAGTATCTTTTTGCGTATACAAGATATAACGTAAGAATGAGATTACTCTTACGTACAGAATCCGGTATCTTTCCGCATTTTCCAATAAAAAATATATTTAATTCAGTTTTAAGTTTCTTAAAATTGGCATAATTTTAAAATTTGGGTTATTAATTGGTTGTACTACGTCTACTATTTTCAACAAGTTATTCATGTTTGATTATTATTTTATTTTTTATAGCAAATTTCTTCAGTCAGACTCTGACTCGAGTGTCTCTAGTAGCGACTGTTCGTCAACGCGGAGCGACGCTCATTCGTATGGAAATCTCATGTGGGTCACAGCAGCACAAGTACGCAGCTATGACGCCTGGAAACATGGATCTCATGTGTGCGTCACGATTTCACGCGAAATTCCGTATATTCTAGAGGAAACATCGCGAGTCAAGCCAGAGTCGTGCAAATGTTGGAAAAAATGGATCATCTTGTGTCGTGCAGAGTGAAGAGCAGAGAACAAAAACTCATATCTAGCCCTAAATTAAAACCTGGCGCAATTCAATCCTGAATTTTGTATAGATGTAGAATTCGCGTACGTTATTGTAAATCGAGAATGACATGTTTAGATCCTAGGATCGTCCCTCGTGCGTGGGACGTTGAATTATTATCGAACAAAATTAATGTGACACGTCGCAATTGACAAAATGTAGTATCACATTTAATGTACTGTAATCTCATAACTATCATCGGAATTTTTTTATAGCTGTAAATGCTGCCTTATAAATTTCATGTACTTGACAGAGAAGCTTGTGTACGATCACTCAATTAAAGGGAACAGCAATAGAACTTTATCAGGCAGCAGATACATACCGATAAAAATGAAAGCGGTATGCTTGAATTCGCGAGGACGACTTTGCAAGTAGCAGCAGATGGCAATGTCTTGTAATGTTTCGGAATACCGTGCAGTATTTCGGCCGATGAGCAGGCTCGCGGCATAGCATGTACATCCCAGTTTAATGCAATCGATCGATTATATGTATATGTATGTACACATATAAATACATATGTATGGATTCGCGAATCCTTGGATTCATGGATCTTCGGCTCTGTACTGAAACTCTGTATTCATATACGCTTGTATCTTTTCGCGGGTCCCCGCATCTGCGAAGAGATACAAGCGCAGATCAGTTGCAGGTCAATGAATCGTCAAATCTGTTTGACGAATCGTACATCTACAGTTTCTCAAACTCGCGCTTTCCAAGATCATCGAATTCGAACAACCTTACAATTTCACGAATCTTTTGATTTACAAATCGCGCGATCGCTTTGTTTAAATTTACAAATCCCCGGTAATTTTCCTAGATCCACAAATTCCCACGGACACATAGATACTAATACTTTCGCAGTGAATATAATAAATTTGGATCCATGAATCGTGTTTACGTCCACGAGTCATAGCTCTGTAAATATGTCGTTCTGTTTCTAGATCCGTGGTGCTATAAATCTCTGATCTCAACGTAAATCCCCGTTTACAGATCCTTGGATTCACTGGTCCGCTTATCAGACTCTATTCGTCATGTAGAATTAGGAGAGACTATTTTCCCGTTTCGTCTTCGACGACGAATACATGTATCTTTTTTTTACATTATGTATACAACATATATATATATAAGTAGTGTGTAATGTAAACGTTTATATATATACAATGTATACTTTAGCTTTAGCAAGGCGTCTATAAATTGTACATAGAAAGACACGATTATTAACGTTAAGCGAGCACTAAGATGGTTTCTAATGATGTGCTACGATTTGAATACTACTATTCCCTTTTTTACTCCATTTTTCGTTCAGTTTCCTCTTTCTCTTCATTTCTACCTAATCCCTCCTCGTATTTTTATCTTTAGCAAATTATTATAAAATTTCGCAAAAAAAAATGTAGTAGCTATTTCATTAGAAGTACTTTTGTGAAAGGCGACAAAGGAACGATATTTCTTTAACTCAGTGAAACTGTACATATATATAGCCGAAGTGTACTGTAATTAATTATTACCGACGAGTTTTGGCGAGGGATCAAACCAATTTTGCATACCGGATAGTCCAAAGCGTTAGCCAATTTTTGTCGACATAGAGCTATAATGTAACAGAGAGTTATGAGCGTATTAAATCAATTATGTTCGTAAATCGTGCCTTTGTCAATTTCTCCTTACTCCCTCCTATTGTATTTGTATGCACGCGGACACAGAGATCCGATTGCAGCCTCTCCATACTTTGAGTAATGCCGATGTCGGCGGTATTGAAACTTTCAAGTTTCGTAACTCGCAAAATACTGTAAGACCGTTTCTGGCTTTGCGTTGCGTGATGCGTGCGTATGCATTTCTGTTCAATGTAACGTTACGTGATGCGTGCTTATGCGTTTCTGTTCAATATAACGCCGCATAAATTTACCCGCTTATGCACATTCTCGTTTTCAATTAGCAGTCGAAGCGCCCACGCGTGCATGAGCACGTCGTGACTAGATATGGGCAATTAAAAGAAAACATTTTTTTATCGATTTAGGTTGGAGACGAGGGGGAGACCGCTGAGGGCATTGTGGTGTACAGATTTGCGGCATTACTGGGCATTACTAGGGCATTTTTGGGGCATTACGTCTTGCTGGGGCATTATAAAGATAAAATAAGATAAAATAAGATAAAACAAGATAAATAAAATAAAAGAAGATAATAATTAAGATAAAGTAATGCCCACTGGGCATTAGTGGGCATTGGTGTACAAGATTTTGGTCAGCGGTTTCCCCCTCGGTTGGAGACTTAAAAATTGACTCGCAAAAAAATCGACTGCCACAGAATTGATCTAGCAGAGATCGATCGATTTATCTAATTTTACAGAGTATTAAATATTTATATAAGTATTAAATATAAGAGGAAAATTAATTTTATATGAAATAAAAATGTTTACCGTAAAGTTGCTCCGCCGTTGTCCGACGCCTCCTAGACCGCTGCCTTCTCTCAGACCCCTCCATTTCGCACTGGCACAACGCGACACTCGCGAGAGAGGAGCTAATTACCGAAGTAACGCACGACACGGCACTCCCGGCGTTAATCGACGCGGACGTCACCGCAATGAGAACGAGAGACAATCGCGAGCGAAACGACGGGAACGTTCCGGCGGGAAGGACTCGCGGAGGCGAGCGAGGTTAACTTAACGCGCGTCGCGCTTGACAGGGCGATTTCGCGCGAACGTTCGTCTCGCCGCGCACCACGCGCGGAAAACTCGGATATTACTGCGCGCGCGAGGAGATACGAATTAAACTTGGAGAACCCGGTGTACTCGTGGCGCGCGAAGATATTGACGGCGTCGCAGCGACGCCGACCGCGCGTGAGATTTCGACCGGGATTACCGTTTCGACCGGGATTACCGGGATTCGTCTCGGTGGATTACCGACGCGCGAGAGCCGAGTCTGCATCGCGCGAGTGTAAAACTGGACGATGGTGAACTCACTGCAATTGTGCGTACCACGAAATGCGACGACCGATTCGCTGCGTATCCACGGCGCTCCTCGAACGGATCAACATGGCGCCGGTTCCCGGCGGCCACTGCGCGGCGCTACAACAGCGGTACTACGCGACTCAAGTCAACGACGCGACGTGTCTCGAATAGCGAAATATAGCGAAGTTCTCGATCGCGTGGTTATGGCGCCGCTTAATTACGCGGAAAATAATCGCGTACATTGTTATATCCGAGCGGTGCGTGGGTTTGAAAAAACATGAAAATAGTTTTTACGAATAATGAAAGGTATGCCGTATCTGCTCCGTTGATTTTCACAGATAAACGACTATCATTATGCCTTGGTAACGATTGGTCACTGTGATCGCTTTGAAAAGTCTTCACTTCGAATATTTCGAATAGACGGCACTTCCCACACAGCACCGAAATATTTCAGAAAGCTCTCAAAAAGCTGTCAATGAAATATGAAACCTTTCAAAAAATATTTCAAACATGTTTCAGGTACATGATTTCTATCTTACATTTCACTATTAATTTCCAAGGTATCTTTTGGAAAGCTTTCACTGACATGTGATTTTGATGAAACGTTTCAAAGATATTTCTGAATGATTTCAATTTTACATTTCAATATTAATTTCCAAGTTATCTTTCGGAAAGCTTTCTGAAACTTGTTTTGCTGTGTGGGTTCTAAACGCGACGAAAATGGAAACTTTATGTTATACGCACAATTTTATACGTAATAATGTTAGAGAGATTATTTCTTAGTAAGCGATCGATATATTGTAATTTTTTATTATTATTTTGCCCGACAATTCGTGTATTACCTTGTGCTTTTGATCTGAAAGTGATAAATGTTTAACTTGAATAGCAAAAATTTTCAAGCACAAGGTAAAAGAGATTCACCCGAGTTTAATAGTTAAAAAATGTAGTATTGCTCGTGGATGTATCAAAACTAACTAATAATTTATAATATATATAATTCCTCGCATTTTCTCTTTAAATTACGCGTGATATTCATCTCGACATATCACCATAGAAATCAACTATATGATTACGGATCGCGACAATTAAACGCGATTGTTAAATGTTAATAATTCTCGTACGAGACGATCGCGTTGCGTAGGAGATGATCGAGATTCTTGTAGGAAATAATCGCGTTACGAGGAGCGACGCGAAGACACACGGAAATCCGTCTCGCTTGACTAATCCGCGCCGAATGATTCAGCTCAATAGGTTGTTTTCGACCGAGATGCTCGCGGGGCTTTCTTTAGAATTTTGGAATTTTTTGGAATTGGAATCTCGCTTGGCTTTGTAGTGCGAGTAGCTGTCAGTGCGAAAATCATGTAATATGTATTTTGACAGAGTGTCAACGTCAGATTACGTCTTCTTCACATGAAAAAAATCTTAATGTGTGAAGAAGATCACGAATAAATATAAATTAAAACCAAGTAGCGCGCGCAATGCTATTTTCAATAAAGTATTTAATACCAATTTATATTATTATTAAAGTAAATAATTCAATAATTTTTGCCCATAATAAATGAAGATTTGCAATTTAAAATATAATTAGAAACTTTATTCAGAGCCGTTTATGCTAATGAATATAAGAAAAGTGAATAATTACTTATCAAATCGCGTATGTTCTCTCTTTGAGAACATTCGCCCTTTTCCAAAGTAACCTTTTATACCTACTTGTTGCTTTTGTTTAAGTGTGTCTAGGTGTTGTTCAGTTTCTAGATCAGTCTCTGCTTCCTGTGGTTGTACAGGATTTGCAGCAATATTGCTGGAATGCTTAGCATTATTTAACAGCAAGTTACTTTTTATTTTGTGACTGCCATTATAGTGAATACAATACATATAGGTTTATAATAATAGTAATAATAAAAATATGATAGTGTGTATGTTATTATACAACATACATATATAATAACCGAACTACCTCTCGTGGACAGGTAGAACGATTGAAAGCGAAAAAGAAAAGTTTCCATTCTACACTTGTTGTATTGCTTAACGATAAACTAATTTTAAAATACTGTAAACGTTACGTAACATTTGCTGTACGGACGAGATAATGCCTTGTACAGGGTAGAAATTATGAATAATAATATTGAAATAATAAATACATCTTGCTATTTAATCACAAAGATGCATTCTGCTTCATATTTGTAACTTAATTTCTAAGTAATATATTTCGAAAATCGATTAACAGTACCAAACTTTTCAATCTCATAAGACATTAAATTCACTAGCTCTATAGAAAAGTTTTACATTTATATCGTGTGCGCATCGACAATCTTCCGTGCGCATACGTTCTCACTTAAATGTTGTGTGCTTAAAGTTTTGTTCTATTCAAAACAAATATTGTACTAGGGATGGAGTGTCAGTTGAGCCCCGTATCGTATGGAAATAGATAGGTCCTCGTGGATCTCTCGCGAGAATCACCCCACACCTTGGACACTTTACACGTTAGGTGTCGTCAAAACCATGGATACCATATTAATCAGAATCTGTATATATAAATCTGTAAATATAAACAACGATTTAAAAATGTGGAAAATATCAGAGTATAAGGTAAATGTGCAGAATTAACACCCTAGTAAGAATCGCGATTTTTTGTGGCAATCAACAAAACAAGCTGAAAAACATATGTATGCAAGATATTAATAAGGTGCTTAAAGTCTTTGTAGGAAACAAATATTGTATTAGGGATGGAGTGTAAGTTGGGTCCCGTATCGCATGGAAATAGATAGATTCTCGTGGATCTCTCGCGAGATGCACCCGTACCTACACCTTAGACATGGGATGGGTTAAGTTGGTAAATAATAAATTGGAAGGAAATTTTGACCATAAATGTTCAATACTAACGACATACCTATTGTTAACGTATCCCGAATTATATAAATTACTTTGACAGAATAAGGTGTTAGAATCAATGTTTAATATGTAAGGTTTCTTTGTATAATTTTAGCAATATATAAGTATAATTACTCTTCAGTTTTAATTTCAGTCTTAACTTCAGACTTTATTTCGCGTAACCAACTCTCAATGTGAATATCCTGTGCTAACGGCTCAGTGATATGGGAGCTTTCCGTTGATGTCGAAACTGCGGTAAATGCGTGTTGAGATTCCCGTAAATGACAGGAGCTCGCAAATTCGTCCTTGACAACGTTGTCCTTGAATTCAACTGTATCTTGGTCTATAGTATGAGATAAGTTGCAAAATTTGCAAACCTTGTATGACGTATTATCTTCCAACCTGCGCATATACATATACAGCACGATATAAGAATGTTAGACATGAAACTAATTAATATTTTAAACAATAAAAGCAAGCGTATTACCCAGATATTTGGTCAAACCTGTCATTTTTATGACTCTATCGACCAGTAAATACTATCCTCGTTTAAATGTAATATTTATAATTATAGTTTACCTATAAAATTAATCTTCTGGAACTGTACTATTGACAGAAATAAAATGTAATAAGCGAAATGAATTACAGAACATTTACTCATAATTTTTACCATAATTTACTAAGATAAAAATTTTCGATAAAAACGTTATGGGAATTATAGAAAGCTAAATATTGCACGTTTGTATATGTGTGGTTAAACCGTGCCTGATGACCAAAAATGAAAGCACAAGTGTAAAATTTGATTCTAGTTTTAGTTATAAATATGTAAAATTTGTTCTTAAGACTCCGAAAGTATAAAAAGGAGACGCGCCCAGTACACAGAGATATATCTGAACAGCGGAAACAAATATTAAACGGTAAATACATATTAGTACATCTACAGGGTGTTTCAGA